ATGTACATGTACGTGTCTACAGGAGCTTTTACCCATTTTTGGAGCAAACTTTAAAATTTGTAAATAAATCAAATTGTGATTGGAATAAACTCAAGGACATGTACATGTATAATGAAAAAATTATAAAAAGAAGAATTCTGTCTTAGAAATTATTGTAAAAATACCCTGTACAAAAGCACAACCATATTTCTGAGCAACTTACATGTAGCATCTTTATTTGTTGTGCATGTACATGTACATGTACATTTAGTTATTACTACATGTATGGTCTATGTATGGTCTATAAATAAAAAAACAATCCACTGACAAAATACCAATCAATTGATGGTATTGGAAAATACCATCAATGAGGCACACACTAGTGACACTACAGTATATGTACATGTACAGACTACAGTTAATGAATTAATAAGGAGATTAAGCACATGAGTACTATACCAAAATCCTGTGGAGTACCCATACATGCACAATGTACATTACGTACATGTACATGTACATATAAATAAAAATACAATCCCTTACCATCTCCATTTTTGAATATGACTCTGATGTCCCCAGGGGAAGCAGAGGGGTCTGGATTCTCATAGACCATGAGTAGTGGCCTCATCTTGGAGTCATAGAAACGACACTCACGGTCTCTAAAATGAGAATATTCAATAAAGAATCAATACATGTGTATACGAGTGACCATACAGTAACTCAATTAGCAGAGTCACAACAATAGCCTTAGGGTACCCAAATAGAGTAATTCAATATACTTGCATTATGAAGTGGCTGCCATGTACAAAATATTTACCATTATAGATAAAAATAGCATAATGTTTAATTACATCATCATAATTCTAATGAATGAATGTTCAGAATCTTTACATGTACACGAACACATACTGTACATGTACATGTAGATGAATGCATGTACAATATACATGCAAATGCAATCTTGTAAAAATGGCAGATAAAGGATAAATAAATATGCATGTCAATGTATGTATGAAAATTACTTTTAGAGTCATAACTCATTCAAAGGCATGTACCCGGTAATTAAAATGTACATGTACATGTACATGTAATAATTACAGGCATAAAATATAAAGCTAGGTTTACATGTACATTTGACGAAATGATCAAAAGTGAGTGGGCGATTTGACCTTTTGATGCAAATCGTTTTGAATTTGGCAAAAATGGTCAAATTTCAATAATATGCTCATTTGTGCTGAGTTTCGCGTGGAGTGTAAATTAACCTATAGCTTTATGCAAGCATGTACATGTACATGAACATGTATGTATATAATCCATAGTCTATGAAGCTGCTGTGTAGCTTGCCTAGCAAACTTAAGACTGGTTTACAATATGACGTTAGGCCAACGACAGTCAATTTTCAATCAAAAGTGTGGGCGATTTGACCTTTTGATGTATGCTTCACGAACCAGATTCTATTCCAGCGTCAACGTAACGTCAGCACTAGCGTAATATTGTAAACCAGCCTTTAATGGTAAACCCTGATGTGAATCTATAAAGTACATGTACATGTTACTATAACAGCACATGACTGCTTGATGCGATTAGTCTGATTAAATGTTTTTAATTATTAAAAACCACTTCCACTTGGAATTACTAATCTAATTAACAATACATGTACATGTACAGTACATGTTATCATTAAATACAAATACAACCAGCACTTGTATTAAACTGAGAATGAACGCCAGCAAGTGTGTGCTTACAAGTATAATTGAATTTCAAAAAAATATCATACACATACATGTACATGTACGATGTACATGTGTATTCAATAGTAATATTCCATGTATTATATCATTTACATGTAAATTTCTAATGATGTTACACACTTATACTGTATTGCACTGATCTACATGTACATGTACGGCATGGTTCTAGGTACATGCATGTACATGTACAGTACAATGTATACATACTACATGTACATGCTTCTTCTTGGTAAATGTAATTTTTTACTTCTCACAATTACATGTAATATACGTAGTTAATACAATATTAAAGTGCATACAACATTATGTGTAAACATTGTATATGTACATGTACATGTATATGCATATGTATGTACTTTAATCCTCCTAAGGTGAGTTTAGGATCCAGTGTGGATACACAGTTATTGAGAACTTGTTTGTAGCTTTGTTGTGCCAACACTTGCTGCATCGTATCCCTAGCCTTTTCCTTCTTATCCTAAAACAGAAACATTATCACCACAAAATACCACAGAACTTATTATTCTTATTATCACAATAACAGTTACAGTAGCAGCAGGATATAATATTATTTTAATATTTATCAGTATTTTGGTTCTTGTTTCCTTATTTCCTCCTCACCCTGTCTTTCAGTCCTTTCGAGTGAAGCAGTTCTGATATGCTCCTGATTTTCCCGATCCCGTCCATCTGCTGTCTCAGTTCTGGTATGTGATTCACGC